GTAAAAGATGTATCTACCATGTTGACTGGCATGGCAGAAGGACCAGAATCGTTGTCAACCAACATGGCGGCTATGACATCACATGCGTGCACCCCAAGAATGGAATGGGATTAACACCGTTGCTATTTTTAAACATTGTAAACTAGTTTCATTTAAGTTTTCATTTCAAACAACTTTAATAACGACCTTATTTAAACTTATAAGACCGATCAGCTAATCCAGAAAAAGGTCCACTTTAGCAATAACGAAGCTTAAACTTTATCTGATGTCTTCGGCCCCATTAAAGGTGTACCAGCCCATGGTGGGCTTTCATAACCCTTAGGAACTAATAAGCATTTTCTTATATGTGATGCTTTGATCAGATTYCAACTTTATGCTAATTATATATGATTGATTGACAGGTGAGACACCTCCCTATCATTACGGCACCCATTACTCATCAGCTATGATCGTGGCTTCATACCTCATTAGAATGGAACCGTTCAGTCAACACTTCCTCAGGTTACAGGTAACCARTTTCTCTTTATAACAAATTATGAAATATTTGAGATATAACGCGCGTGCTGATTGGCTGGCTACCGTGTTTATATCGGAGGACAAAGACACGCTTGCGCAAAATCATTCAAAAATATTTAAATATTTTACGCCTCGTGCTTCTAATCTTGCTTCTCTCGTGCTCTACAGCTCCCAGCGTGTTTATATCACAGTACAGAGACATATATCACAGTGACATAACATTCCATACAACTTGTGGTATAGATGTCGTTTTGTCCCATGACGTTGACTACCATGTGATGTCGTGCAATGGCGTATCGTGTCGTGACATTGCGTAGTCTCCCCCACAGCCGCTTTCAGTGTCGTCACGCAACGCTTTGCGTGACGACACTGAAAGCGGCTGTGGGGGAGACTAGACATTGCGCGTCATGTCACCCTCTGTGTGGACCCCCTTTCCACACCTACTCTAGTGATACTTATTTCCTAGTTTCATCATTAGACCCATTTAAATTATTCAACGCTTTGCGTGACGACACTGAAAGCGGCTGTGGGGGAGACTAGACATTGCGCGTCATGTCACCCTCTGTGTGGACCCCCTTTCCACACGTACTCTAGTGATACTTATTTCCTAGTTTCATCATTAGACCCATTTTAATTATTTCGCTACTAACATGCTGTATCTTCATGTTAACAGGGTGGCCATTTTGATCTGCCAGATCGTCTCTTTCACTCTATCAAGGACAGTTGGTTATCAGCATCAGAGACTAACATCCATGATGTCAAGGAACTCATCCCTGAGTTCTTCTATTTGCCCGAGTTTCTTACCAACCACAACAACTTTGATCTAGGTAGGGATAATCTTTA